GCTTTCCAAATCATTTCTGAGCTTCCTCATCCGAGTAGTCACCGTACACGAGCAGACAGTACTGAAATCCTAGGTCTTACTGCAAGTCCTTACAGTCTCTGCTCCAGCTGCTTTCGTGACTCCTACCCTAATGCAAACAGAGCAATCTGTTGCTGAACCTTGCAAAGGCAGGCAGACATGAACAAGGCCGGCTCCCACTGTGTTCCTGAGCAGATCTGAAGAAAGCAGGAACATGATTTTGGAAGTCTCCTGATTTTACAAAACTGACTGGGTTCCCCCTCACACTCAATCATCTGTTTTCCCACCTCAGTGTGAAAAAGAAACACTACTTAATGTGTCTTAAAAAAAGGGCCCCAAAAGACTCACCATTCTGCTTCATCAACGTTTTAGCCGAGGACATACGTACCGGTGCTATTTTAGAATCACCAGACACTCACTGCCTGAGCAGGTCTCGCCAGCAGCACATTAAACAGCAGGAACACAGCTTTTAGCCCACCTTCACCAATGTTCCTACTAAACATCAGCTGAACAAATAAATGGGGGTGGGGGGAAAATCAGTACTGTTTTCTGACATCCGCAATTTCTTCAGTAGCTAGGGGCCTTGCACTGCACGAACTGCTCTGCCATTAGGAACTGAAGGTCCCTTGCAGCCTCTCTGCGTGCCTGGGCTGTATTTCCATAATGCTCAGGATACAGCATCAATAAATAATAGTTTTTAAGTCTTTCTCCTCAACTAGCCATATCAAGAAACTGAGGCAGTAAGTCAAGACACCTTGTAAAAGAGGTTCAAAAAGGACGTTACTGAGGTGTTTTGCTTGTGTTTTCCTAGGGATGTTAACAGCTTGCTTGAAGTGAGGGTGGAAAAAGGAAAGGCCCGAGTTTACCTGCGCATCTCCTTCTCGGGCTTACCAGAAAAAACGCCATTGGACTAGGAAATACCAAACAAAATCTGTAGGCACAAACAACGGTAACGCTGCATCAATGAGAGGCTAGCATTAGAAGAGGTTTAAGTAAAAGAAAAAAACCACAACCCCACAGTTCCCTGGGAAGCCGTACTTTTTGGGAGATGACACATCTTACTTTGACTCGACTCCAAGCAGAACATCTAATCAAAACATCTAATCAAAACAGGTAACCCTACAGCATTTTCAAGTTGCCTCTTGGCAGGGTAAGTTTCATTTAAGCCTGAATCAGCATCAGGCTCCACAGCAGTTTACCCATACTTGGAACAGTTTTAGCAGTCTCTTCGAAGTTCAGCTCGGCTGTTTCAATATAACACATGACAGAATACCCACTGCAGAGTGACTGGTTTGTTAATCAAAGTTCAGGTAATAAAATATCCACTGCATCCTGCTCCAAGCAGCATTTATTAAAGAGAAGTATCAGTCTAAGTCAGTCATAATGAAGCTTTCCCTCCTACAAATATGTAAACAAGTGGACAGCGAGTTATTATTACAATATAAAAATTAAAGCTTACATGGCATTTTGTTTTAAAGCTCCTAACTTCAGTCTCAATGTGGACAGTCTCTGGTCTGTAGCATTTAAAAATACAAGTTCTTGAAAAATGTTAAAATATTGCCTTTGCACATACACATTTTTGTAGAAAAATACTTTAAAATACCAACTTCCCATTCATAAAGGCAATGCCAAAAATAAAGCACGTCTTTTGTCAGGCCAGCGCTTTAAATGCATCTAGCATTTACCCCACCGTTCTGTTTAAACAAATTATCTTCTGTTCATTTTAAAATGCATTTTAGTTTGCAAAAAGTATCTTGGATAGTATTCAGTCACTTTCACATAGCAAAGCAATTAGCAATAAGTAGCTAATATTGGCAATTACCTTGTAATCAGAGTCTGGCCTAAGTTTATTCACAACTGAAGCCACCGATTTAACCCTCGACTCAACCTGTATTTTGGTACGTACAGTGGGCTCTTGCTGAGAAATCTGAGTCAGTCCAGATCTACAAAGGTTTCAAGCCTTTCCAAGATCTGATTTAGCAAGAGATACATTCTCTCTTAAACTTACAGAGAGGTTAAAGGTACTTTTTCTTCAACGATATCTTGCAGTTCTGTTGGTGGCCGTCAGTCGATTCTCAGGAAACACTTTCTTCATAAGATTATCTAATCTGACATGAACTACATTTTACATTCCAAAACCAAAAGGAAAGTTAAGTTGAATTTTGATTTTTTGCGTAACATTTTTCCAAGAAGTTTACTGGCAAGAGCTAGACAGATCACTTTTGCAGTTGCTAAGGCAAAGAAGTTTGAAAATTCCCTGTACACAAAGTTTAGAAAATTGCATATTATTTCAAAACCAAACTGAACTAAATTCAACAAGCAGAGAGAAATACATATCACTGGGATGGAAGCTAATCATGCCACTGTGTCCTGTCAAGCATCAGCTGACAATGAACAGCAAGGAAAAAAAAAAGATAATACAGTGAACCAGTTTCGGGATGAATTCAAAGCATAAAATCGAGCTGTCAAGAAAAGAATTTTACAGTAGGATATTAGACTTAAAAAACCAGCTAGGAAAACACTTGAAGTTTTATCACTTAAGACAGTATCTGAGAGAACACAAGTACATTTATATGCAAAGAGTGAGGAATATGAGTAAGACTGCCAGCTTTCCTATTCCCATGCCTAGTTCAGAAAAAGGAGAGTTTATTTAGCCTTTGTCACTACTTAATTAGCAAGTTAAGTCTGTCAGAAGTTACAGCCTCAAGTACATAACACCACACAGAGCAACTTATTGACCGGGAGTGTGGTAGAGCCTAAACTACTCCAACTATCTCTAGCCCTGGAAATGCGAAAGGAACAAAACTCCCAAAACAGGATCTACATGGACCCATAAAAAGGAAACCTAATTATGAGAGAAGGGCTTACCCTGCTCCTGCACACAGCATTCTGGTGTGTAGGAAGATGACAATTCTATTGCCATGCTTGCTGGTACAACAAACATGATGAGTTAAAGCAAGACATGGCAGCAATTGCTCAAGGAGGATGCTCAACCGGAGAGTAAGAGATTCCACCCAAGGCTCAGGTTAGTCTAATTTTCAAAAGAGGGGCGAGATGCAGACACAAAAGCCTCTGTTTCCCCTAATGTCTTACGTACCTTAACACACAGACAGCCCTTCCCTGCATTCAGGGCGACAGATGAGAAACACAGACATTCCTCGGGCACAAGCCATGAACCACACCCCGGGGGAGGCTGCCTTCCTGATCACTGCCTCCTCCACACAACAGCTCCCTATGCAAAGCTAGATCACAAGTTGCAGTTCCGGTTCAAGGCCGGGCTTTTTGCACTACACTCATTTAGGAGAGAGAAGGCTGCCTGTCTTCTGGTATGAAACCACGTCTTCGAGTAAAGTAACACAGGCTTTGGCCTTTTAACCGCATACGGACTGTTGCAAGCTCTTACTAAAGCATTTAACTTCCTGGGTAACGCAGTGCCAATACAGACCAGCTGCATTTTTATCCACGCGATTCCCACCCTGGCCCAAAGCCTGCGGAAGACTGCTACCAACGCCAGTGTATAGAGAGCAGTGGGCCATTCGTGCCTACCAGCAGTGAACCCGCTGTGGTTGTAATGCACAGAACTGCAGCAGGCCCCAGCCTCAAGAGTATGTTTAAAAGCACTGCAGCGCACTTGCAGCGGACTCTCATACCTGGGGAAAGGTCCTTGGAGGCCGAGATCCAAGGCTAAGAGGGATCACATGCCATTTTCTCTTCAAAAAAATAGTAACCTCATCTCTCCCTGTGCCAAGTAATAAAATACTATGTAAAAATGGGTGTTTTCTCCCTGAATCCACAGTAGAAACATAGTCACACAGAAAAACCGTAAGCAGTCTGATTCTCAGAACTGCAGAAAATAGAAGCAAGCAAAGGGGACCTCAGAAAGTCACTCTGACAAGTCCCTGCCTTGAATGACATTTCAAAACTAATCTCTGTGCAAACAGTTATGCCATGGGACCCTAGGTTATAAAATGGCTGACTACCTCAGCTAGACTTCTAGGAAAAGCTTACGTATGTAAAGGGTATGTAAATATTTTAGTAATAACTTCAGCAACAAAAGAAAGTACTACACAGCCAATTCCAGAATCCACATATAAAATATACACACATACATGTTCTAATATATATATATATATAAAAAAATCATTCTTAAAGTAATGCAGAGCAAAACCAAATCAGGGCCTGAGTAACCTATCCTACATGCCTTCACGTCAGCATGACTTCTCATACACAGCTGATGGGCTGATCAGAACCCTGAGGTCTATCGCTGGAATTGCTACAATTCTTACTTATTACGATTTTAACCAAAAACTGACTCAAATAATGTTACATCTCTCTAGGTGAAGGAGGAAGAAAGACTCAAAACAAACAACCCACCCCACCACACAGACAAAAAAACCCACACAGCCTTGTAATACAGAGAAAGGCACCTGATAATATTGTTAAGTGTTAGTAGCAGTTACCTACAGCATCCTAAATGTAGTTAAGCAAACAGGATAAATTAAAAAAAGAATATAAAATACAAGAACTGCTGGCATTCAAAAGCCAAGTCTAACCTACCTAAAAAGTCACTAAAATGACATGTGCAGCTGTAAATCAGTAAGAGTGTGCAAAACTATACAGTTCTGCATAAAGTGCTAAAAGTACCCCCAGTTTGCACCTATTAGTGTTTGTTAAGCTTGGCAATACGATGCAAGAAGATAATCTTAAGGATGTATCCTATCTACCTCGTCTTTCCTTTTCCTTCCCTGCCATCATCCACTGTCCTTTAAACTGTACATTATTATATTACACAAAGGCTTTTCCAGGAACTGTAGCTTGGAAATTTCTTCAAGTATACCTGTCTTTCCATGTAAACTGGGGGACACTATGGGTTCAGTTTTCACAAGTTCCAAATACTTACAACTTCTGTTAATTCAACTGGAGTTGTAATTATTTCCATCTGTTCAGTAACTTTGGAGAACGGCTGTTTCCTGTTATTATGAATTCCCATTTAAGGGCTGCTGAAATTCTTACTATAACTTGTCCAGATTTAAGTCTGACCAATAAGCAATTAAAGAAAAGCAGAGTAATACTTTATCCAACCATTTAGGTTCATAAAACCAAGTCCTACCATATCTATTCATACATACTCATTATGTGAATCATACACAGATCTTTAACACTTGACACACAGAATTCAAGTTACTATAATACAGCAGTTTGACTGGCAGGCATTGTGCAGTACACTCAGAAGTATACAGCGGGTCTCTTCTTCACTCTGTACTTCAGTGATCCATACCGTATCTGAGGGGAAAAAAAGAAAATTACAACTTAAAGAGTTGAGATTTCTTCTGACAGGGGTATTATTTACCTTTCCACTTAGCCAATGTAGAAAGTGTCTTTCAATGTGCTTTGGACGCTCCACAGATTCAGTAAGAGAACCCACCAATGACTGAAGAAGATACAGTTTCGACAGAACTGGGCAAGAAGGGCAAGTCTTAACTCTTTTCCCAGAATTACCCCAAAACTTTTGAGATTCCCAGGACATTTATTCTGAAGTACCTTTAAATTTTGTGACACACACAAATATAAAGCATTTTGAATCCCACACAGAATCTTCTCTTTGCGGGTTACACGTCAAAGCAGGCCATATGTCATGGGAACTGAAAAAAGTCTTCTTTAATCCATTAAAGAGCAGATGCTTAAGCTGCACGACCAAGACACTCAAATGCAGATGACAATGCAGCTATCTACGGCCCTTTCAAGGTGACTGTCCCTGGAATTTGGGTTTGGTGGTGTCCGAATTAGCAGTACAAGCACAGCATCTATTTCACCTCCCCCTCTCTCAGATCATTTCAACCACGCATTGCCCTTAAACGCCCCAGTCAACAGACGCCCCAACTTTAGATACTGTTATCACATACTTCCTTCCCCATCTAGCATTCTACAACCCGGTTATCATTGATAACCACAGTAAGATTAAGAAAATACACCTTCCTGCATTATTAAAAATGTCAAGGCGCATTTTTAAAAGCAAAGTCAATATTTAACTAAGATAATACTTGCCTCTTTACGGCCTTTAATACTTTTCACAGATCTCATGCTCTGAGTTCTTCGAAGGCCTCTGTGAGTAAGCATTTCATCATCTGAATGTGTCCCCTCCATCTCTTCATCTGTTTTATCATCTCCAGGATTTTTTTCCAGTGGAGTTTTGGAACCTTTAAAAAGCAGTTTTATAAAAAAAACGCTTAATAAAAAGAAGCGATAACATTTAGATTTCTAAGCAAGCTATTACGTTTCACCTTTAACACACATCCTTTATTCTTTTCAGTGATATGGTCAGTCTGCCAGGTGTTTCAGAACAGCGAAACATCTCGTTTGCCAGGAGCTGGTAGCTATAGCTCTGCCGTTTTTAAGTAACAAGCCATTCAGCCCATAGCTGTGTAATGCAGCGGTCAAAAGTGAAACCATCAATCTGCTTTACGCTGCACTGCAAAGGCCAGGGAGGGCAGGCTGGGGGGTCTTGGACTAGATGATCTTTAAAAGGTCTTTTCCAGCCCAAACCACTGGATGATTCATAGGATCTTTCTTCATACTTGCATACCTCTCTGCATACTTAACGCCACAGTTCCTTCCAGGCAGATACAGCACCCAGGTACTATTTAAGGGGTGTTTGCAGCCAGCAAAATCAGGACCAAGGTTATTACCGAAGCTTCTCACTAGAGGGTGCAAACTGCTCAAAAACACAAGCTGAAGCATCCTGCGGGCCCACAAGCCCTGAACCCCTACCACAGGCACATCGTAAAGCCCCCAGAAGCAGTTAGCTTCTTCCTCCCGGCCGGGCTCTCCTTTCATAAAGCCACGGCAGAACCTACAACTGTCACACTTGGACACACCTTTCAGACTCCAAACCCAACTTGACCTATGATCACTGCACATTTCATCTTAAGCCAATATTTGATTTGGGCTCAAGTAGATTCTTTTCTTTTGGTCATTTCATTTTTTTCCCCCAAAACGGCCATTCTAGAGACAATGTGTCTCTGCCTCCAATACAGCTACAATCCATCATTTTCAGTGTTGAAAATAGAATCGCAGCTGTCACTCACATAGTTTCTGACTAGTGATGTTTGCAGGGACACCAATACCCCCTTATCTCTGTTTTTAACACCTCTTCTGAGGCATCAAAATCCCATTTGCCTTTTTCACAGCAATCACACTGGCAGCTCAGTCATCTATGACCAATGTCTTTCTACAACTAGATCTTTTCAACTGATTTGCACGGGCCTTCCAGCTCAGATTATAAAAAAACAACACTAACTGCAATGAAATACTGCTACATAGTGTTCCTATCTCTATCAGTGGTTTGTTCTTTTCTGGAATCTCTAATACTGAAGAAACTTCAAAGAAAGCTGAAGATGTGTACACTAGATTCAGGCCCAGGAGTAGAAACAATTAAACTAAACTAGCTTTAAGTAAGCATTTTGACATGTGAGGCTGAACTTCCCAATCAGGGGTTATTTACACAGTACAATCTGTACCTGAGTATCTTCTTTTAAATGGTATTTTGAGCATTTTCAAGCTATTTCAGACAGATAACGACTGCTTGCTTACTGAAGAATAGCCCCTGCACAACAGCTGCAGCGACATCATCCCTATGCAACTCCTGATGCATTCACGGGCTTTCTCTGTGGCGGCTACTCCCTGTCTTTACTATGCTGACCAGCACAGGGTATCTTCTGGGTGCAATTAGCAATTCAGCTCAGGGCCATGCAGGTGGCCATTTCTTCTTGGAATTCCAAGTACTCCACAAGCACCACCCCTCCCTGAAACGGAGGGATGAGAAGAAATTACAGGCTTAGGTGAAAAGACAAGATATGGACTAGAGCTACTACTTCTGTGTGAAATATCAACCACTTCACATTGTAGCCCAACCACTTAAAAAGGTGCAGTTGAGTGAAACCTTCCACTGAAACCTTCCTTCAAGCATCTAGGCTCAAGAGCAAAGTGATTGTAATAATATTAATTAATAATATTATCTATAATAAGAGTAATGTTTTTGCAGAGCTATGTTGTTATATATTGGTGACTGCACACCATCTGCTGAGTGCTGATGTGCATCAGTACAGTATGACAACTTAATGCCTTCATTATTCCTATCACCACAAGCAATTTTACATTTTGAGCTATCATTACCGATCTACTGAATTGATTTCCATTAATTTTCTCTTCCTATTTATTGAGCTTCCATAAATTTTCATGTTTAACTTTCTGTACACTGGTCACAGAAACACCATCTAATTGCATATTTTTCAACTTCCAATTAAGCCTTACTTTGACAAGGAATTTTCGTTGCTAATTGGCAAAGATAGAAGTGATGAGTACAGTATGACTACACTGCTAGTGGCTGCAAGAAGAAAAGCATTTAGGGAGCATTTCTCAATTGTCATAACGTATCTTACTCAACCCTGATCAAACGCACTGGAATTCTTTGAGGCCTTTTCCATTTCTAAATGAGGAAAATGTATTTCCGCTTTTCCACTTTTGTCTTCAGTTAATTGCTCTTTTAGCTAGAAAAAATAGATACTTACCTGAAGATTCACTTGCAGAGGCTCTGGTTTTCTTTTTTGCTTCTGGCAGTGTCTGATAGGGTCTCTGTCCTACTGGCTCATCTCCTTGTATAGTAGTCAAATCATGCATACTGAAACTTCTCAGCTTCTCAGTTATTGCACCTTGACTCTGAAATACAACAACAGTGTCTTTAAGAACAAAGCAGAGGTTTAGCTTTGCTCTTCAAGTTGGGTTGAGATGTTTAAGTCCATGCTTCCCTGTTGCACTACAAAATTCACTGAACGTAAGCATGCAGTAGATTGACGTTTCCTTTAAGTATTGCTTTTACCCAAGCTCAACCGCGTATCGTTCTTAGGCAAAAAAGTCACAGATAAGCTAGCAATTTCATTACAAATGTCTCATTTCACTACTTTCATCTGAGCAAAAGAAAGGCTTTTTGGGGGAGAGGAAGTGTTCAAAAGAAACCACGCCCCACACTACCAGAAGACTTCAAACGCGGTGTCTCTCTAGCACTGCGAGGCAGTGTGACAGTGCCTTTAACACTTCCCTTTTAAAAAGCATGGTTGAAGATACAGATTTCTGCGATTTTATATTTTACCCTCTACAAATTTGAATATGCATAAGAAAGGAAAAAAAGTGTTAAAATACGCTCTGTAACATTACCTTAAGTAACCGAGAAACTGAGAGCACTACAGAAGCTCTAGTTGACGAAAGGTAGACACCACAAACCAAAGAGATCCTGCCTGGACTACAGCCTAGCAGGTCCTCTTACACATGTAGCTTTACCGGCACAATACCAACCCAAAATCTAATGCTACCTGTAACGATAGCTGACCACATTTGAACATCAGTATTCCTTCTCTGACTGTCCTTACATCTTTTCTACATGGGACATACAGGAAGTTCCCCTTTTTCTAGAAAGAAGGGTCATCAAGCAGCTCCCTCATCTTAGACCAGATGGTATTATTATTAAAGCATTGAAGCTTAATTTATTGTATAAGTAACTAAAAGGACAAGCACATTACTCAATGTCATGTTAAAATAACATTTAATTCTTGTCCCTCCAGCCTATGAGACAAAAATAACCGTTTCAGAGGAAGGCTGACAAGCCTGTGCATGAGTCCCAGTTCGAGCAAGGGTTCAAGATCTCACTTCATTCTTAGAAATGAAGCTTTTAAGTAAAATTCCTCATTTGAGCATTACATTAGCTAGTAGTAGCAGAAATCTGGGT